CCCTCTACTCTCCTCACTTTCCACTAGAACCAGCGACTCCGGCCCCACCACGCACACCGCGCCGCCCAACAGTAAGGTTAGGGCACCTCCCTCTCCCCGGCGACCGTCGCCGCCACCATTGTCCCCGATGCCAATGCGAAGGAAGGTTGTGCCATCTGCCGGTAGGTGCTCTTTCCCACCACCATCACCACTACCACCTCCATCGCCATTCGCTGACCCCCCCACCCCCGCCGCCGTAGGTCCTTCGAGAATCGTGCCCGTGCTCCGCGGACAGGAGGGGACGGCGACATCGCAGCCGTCTGTCACGACGAGATGTCTCAGGGAGCGCTTGAGCAATGACGTGTACTCGGGTGGAAGATACCGCTGCTGCTGCCGTTGTTGGAACGGGTGCTCAAATGCCGGCGGTGAGGCTGGCAGCGACGATGCATTGCTCTCCCCCGGAATGCCGCCGGTCACCCCCGCCGCCGTAGCCACGGCTGTGCCACCCATCCCTCCTAAAGACCCTACCGCGGAGCCCCGGTGTCGCCTCGAGGACCGAAGCACCCGTGCGGAAATCCTCCCCGCCGCGGGGGGTGACGCATCGCCCCCGCGCCCAGCCCTACCCCCCGCCGGCGTACCGGTTCCAGGACCGTTCCGCAAGGAACGCACAGGAGCGATTCCGACCACCTGGTAACCCTCGCCGTCCTTCTCCGCCTCCCGTCCGGAGGCGTTCGCCGCCCTCAGGAATCGAGCGATCAGATTCTGCGCGGAGGGATCGACAGTGGTAGCGGTAGGGCTCGGGCTTTCGGCGGCGGAGGCTCCTGCTGCGTCGGAGGGGGGCGACGGGGGATCAGCTAGGCATTCGGTAGTGACTGCCATCGCCCCGGTTATCGGCAGAGATGCCTCGGACGGGGCCGCGCCAGCAAGGGTGGATGCCGGCACCGGGATGTGAATCCTGCCGTCGATAGCCGTCTCCGCCAGCGCAAGGTGCGGGTTAGCCCAGATCGTGCATAGCAGGCACCGGAGCTCCAACGTGCCCCCCTGGGCGAAGCTGTCTGTCGCCGGTGCCGGGCCCTTGAACACACCGCTAGCAGTACCGCCGACGCTCTCAGAACCCGCTGCGGCCGAAATAAGGGAAGGAGCAGCGGTCGCCGCAGACGACCGCACTCCGACTAGGGTGAGCGCTAAGACGGGGTCGCCGGGGTAGAGCCCTAGGTCTTGCATGACCGCCGGATGCACCTGGCATCTCGCCGACATGGCCGGCGGCGGCAACGGTAGCTTGGTACGCCTGCTGCCTGAACGGGTATCTCTTTGCAGTGCCGAGATGCCGGCAGGATGCTGCTGCTGCTTTGCGCCGGCTTCCGGCGATGAAGAGTGGTGCCGTCGGCTAGCGGGCGCACCACTACTAGACACCCCAAACGAATCTCCTGCAGTCGCCTGGCCCTCTTCGTCGCGGTTGTCACTTTTACTCCCTCCGACAACGCCTAAGGTGTATATTCCGGTTGGTGCTGTTGCCGTCTTGAACGGGCGGCCGTTGGCGGCGGTCGGTCGTCGTCTTGAGGGCAAGGAAAACTCGGCGTCGTAGCCGTAGAGCCGGAGGTGTGCCGGCTGGAGGAGGAGCAATGTTGGCGGCACGTGGTGATGGTGATGATGGTCACCATCGCCAGTTATGCTTGCTGGACCCATCTCTAACTTTGTGGCTTACTCCGAAGCTCGTCGCTTCGCCCAGGACCCTTGCTGTTCGCAAGTGTACAGATGAGGTTTTGGAGGACATTGGCAACCAGCAGGGTGTTGGCTGTTGGGAGCGGGCGAAACAGAGCCCAAGCGCGCCCAAAAACGTTCTGCATTGATCTCCCACACTTAGACACAGATGTCAGCTCTCGTGATGCGCGTTTCTGGGTTTCTCATGCGTAACGACATGTAGTCCCATGACACAGCGACGCCGGTCGTCGCTTGATACAAGCAGCTTGTACAGAGTACCGCTGTTCATATTGGATGTCCTGCAGCTACGTAGTGGACACGATATCACCCGACAAGTGCCACAGACGAAAGGAAGCGACAGCACCACGAATCAAGCACACGAAGAAGAGAAGCGGCACAGGGACACATGTTTTTTCCCGCACCCTTGCTGTTTGCACTGCTCTCACGCCTCAACGAGCGCAGTACCTCTGTCGACAGCTTTGAGCAAATTTCTCACCACTGATTTCTATTCCGATTGGGGTCTCGTTGGCCACGTTTTCACCATCAGCAGTCTCCGCTATGACCTGGCACCAACGCAGAAAGTTGATCACCAGGTGTGGGTGTGTGCTTGTCCAACGAGGAAGTGCGGCACAGCCACCGTAACAGAGAGAGACGGACGGCCGGGCGGGGTCGCCTCCACTTTTCCCCCACATCAACGAAAGAGGCGTTTGTCATCTCTCCCACACGGGACTGGTGACGGGTCGATTGTGTGTGACTGCACCGCTATAATAGGTGCAACAGCTTGTGGATAAACGTGGTGTCCGATCGTGTGAACTCGTTCAGTTCTCTTCGGCGTTGCTTCCTTAGGAGGGGAGAGAGGGGAGGGAAGGAACAGGCACAAGCCCGTGGAAAAGAGGGGGGCACGGCCGCTCTCCTGTGTCGCACATTGTTCACCGGGTGGCAAGACATGCCCGCCAAACACAGATGTTGCGCCGCACGTGCATAGTACCGAGACCTCGTGGCAAGCAACGCTGTGCCACAGAAAAAAGGGCGGTGATGAAACACGCTCTGTGCACCCGTCGAACACAAAAATCAGCTCGGGGGACTGCTGGACACGCACCTGTGTGGATCTCTTTCTGGTGTAACTCCACGTTGCGATACTCGTGTGGGTAACCATTTTCAATACCGACAGCCTCAGCTCGAACGGCGCGGCGAGACCCACGGATTCTTGGTTTGGAAACCATAGTCTGTCTGTCTGGGTGTGTGTTTTTATTATGAGCATCGACCGCGCTGACCGGCTGACTAATGAAAAGACGTCAGTCTCAGTGCGGTTGACAACACAAAACACTATTATCTGCCATGAACTGGGACCCCGTGATGGGGCAGCATGGGGGAGGCTAAACTATCCTTCGGATCAACGACAGAAACAGCAGCAACAGAAGAAAACTGCACATGTCTACCAAGGCTGCTACCTTTTACTCGAGTTCGTTTTGGAGTACTTTCACCATTATCCTCCTTGTGTTCGCTACCATCATTCTGATCCTCATTTTGACAAGAATCTCTGGGCAGTTCTTCCCTAGTCCTAGACGTTTTTTCTTTTGGGGAAGGTCATCTGGCTCAAACCCTTTGCTCTCTTCCACGCCTCCATGTTTTCCTCCTCCATCGTCGTCTTCGTCCTCCTTTCTTCCCTTTCTCTTTCCTCGTCTCCGTCACTCCCAAAATAATTGCCCTCATTACTATCGTTGTCGCAGAGATCCCAACCGATTGGCCCTGGTGGAAGTTGGTCGATCAGTAGCCCATGACGTTTGAACACATCGCGAGTTCGCATGGACAGAAAACAAGCAAGCCCGAAGGTAAACCGGCTCCGAATCCTGTAAGTTTGAAAAGCTTTCAGGCGGGCTAACGCTCTTTCGTCGTCGAAATTCCCCCGGCAAAAAGCTTCGTGCGCCAAGTGGTTGGCGATAGCAACGATGAGTCGATTGATGCCTTTGCCAAGACCACCATTCGTTGAAAAAGTAGCAGTAAGGAGGGTAGATCTAGACGGGTTGGAAGTTCCCGCATAGTGATTTGCCTTACTTGCGGCTCGATCTTCGAGGGCGGATCCTGGCTTTTGCATCGACTTGTGTGTGTGTGTTTTCGTCCTATTTATTATGGCAACAGTCCCCGCATTTCTCGTGGTGAGACGTACTACAATTTCAGCGTATGTAGTACTACGCTTTTCAGTGTACTTTTTCGTACAACTACAACCATCCAGGGCCACACACGAGGGGGTAAACACCAGGGCTATTTTCTTCTTTTTATTTCCTTTAATGCCCCACCTTCCTCCTGTGGTGCGTGCTGAATTTTTAATAGTTTTTTTTTTGCGAAAAGAGTGGCCCGAATAGGGGTACGCTTTTTGTTTTGCAAAAAAAAAGCTGTTTAGAGGGGGGGGGGGAAACGGGCTCAAGTACGTCTGTCTGTCTGTGACCAGCCTCGATATATTACCCAGCAGTTTCCAGCCCATTTCACCATCTCGGCACCAAATTGCAATCTAAGACGTGTTCACAACAAGTTATTATATGTTACCCGAGCTGTCCCAACTTCTACCTTTTCAATCCGTGCTCGGGGCATCGAGATAGTGCAGCGTCGGTACCCAACTTGAAGCAGGGAAGTTTCTGGCCCCTTGCAACAGCGAGAGGAGGCGTCGTTTGATTTTGAACCAAGACAGACAGCCTCGCACACCACACACCACACACACACAAAGCCAGACATGGACAAACAGGGAGAGGGAGACACAGACCACAGCGAGGGCGAGACGGCGGGAGAAGGGTGTGCCATGCACTGCTGCTGTTAGCTATCGGCGGAGGAAGCGAGGGGAGAGATCAACATTTGGTTGCAGCAGTAGCAGCAGCAGCAGCAGCAGCGGCCTCTCTCTCTTTCCGCGGAGAGGGGAACATGACACCAACAACACACAGACGCTGCTGCTACGCACCACCATTGGTGCGACATGTACTGCTGTACGCCTCTCTACACTTTTGTGCGCGAAGACCTAGTGTGCGACCAGTGCCTCCCGTGCTAGCCTGGTTACCCGTCACACGCCTGAACGCTTTTGAGATTTCTCGATCAAAGCTCGAACCAACAAGCGAAGCACAACAACAGCAGACATGTTTTATTTCAGCTGCTACCCTATTTTTAATATACCACACCCCTCCCTCGGTGATGAAGGCCACCTGTCGCCTTAATAAATGAGACAAAAAATAACACACAAAACACACACGCTGACTCTCGAAATCATGGGTTCGAGTCCGGGTGGAGATATCATCTTTTCCAAGCCATTATTTTTTTCGGAGTCTATCACACCATCTCCGCGGACGGGAAGGCCGACCGGGAGGTCACGACCCGCAGCTGCCGAGCGTGGAAGTGCTACCGCCGGAACAGTGCGTCGATGTACGACAGGCGACGGGCCAACCGCCAGCTCAAGATCCGGCTACTTCAGGCTGAAGTGGTGGAGACTCTCCTGTATGGGTGCGCCTCGTGGAGCCTAACAGCGGAGCACTACACGAAGCTCAATGGGACCCACCGCCAGTTCCTTACACGGTGCATCGGCTGGAGCAAGCGGAAACGCTCAGACCGCCCACCTGTCCTATTCCCAGGCCCTCATCCAGGCAGGCTGCGAGGAAACCATCGAGGCCACCGTGCGCAAACGGAGACTGTGTTTCGCGGGCTTTGTTATGCGCATGGAGGACAGCCGCCTCCCCAAGCGCATGCTGTTAGGAGCGATGGCGAGGGGCGTGGGATACCGGGGCGGGCAGGAGAGCGTCTGGGTGTCTCATCTTGGAGAGGACCTCGTGGCCTTCAACATGGGAGACGAAAAGGAAGGGGGTAAATGGAAAGAGAGCGCCAAGGATCCGGAGGTAGGTGTGGTACAACAAGGTCGAAGACGGGGGGGCATGGTTCATGAGGAAATGGCACAGGCAGGAGGCGGAAGCGTCCGCGAAGCGCCAGCATGCGAGGGAAGCAGAAGAGAGTGTACAACCATCTCAGGACCGAATGTTGCAATACAACGCATTACTGCTGTAGGATGTGTGTAGTAGCATAGATGCAGCTGTATGATTGCTGTACGCAATGGTACGTAAATGCGGTATCAATGAGTGACGTTTGGTAGAACGTAACATGTAGCGACGAGTTATAGCGACGAGCTCGTTGATGACATGAGAATGAATTGTAGCGAGATCACGAGGTGTTGCGAGCCCCACCGGGCTTACTCCCAACTATCCCTCAACATCTCAACTCTGCAAGTAAGCTGAAGAAGAAAGAAAGTACAAGTCCCAGAAGCGGCATTTAGCAACAACATCAGACTTCGGTCTTCGCCTCAACAGACTTTGGTCTGAACATACTTCGGTCTGCATCACACAGACTCTGTGCTGCACAAAGGCTTCACCGCCTGCAGACGGCCCTTGGGTACAGGGCACCTCGACACTACACATTTCTACATGGATGGCATGCTAACTGGTGTCTGAAGAATCAACGAGGCCTCAACAGAAGAAGACGTTCATCGTCGCGAGAGATCAACGGAACGGCAAGTACTGCAGACCACCGACACGACAGCAGCAGAGGAGACAAGATAGTACGGCCAGTGGCAGCAGGGATCGCTACCCTGGCCTTGTTGTTGTTGTTGTTGTTGACTTCACATTAAACCGTATGCCAGTTGCTAAATGCCAAAATCTAGCAAAGACTCTCAGCCCGTGGTCACGAAAGTGCTAGAGCCATCTGAGGATCTAAAGAACACGCACACGTAGCAAGAAAAAGGTATCCAAGAGCCCGAAGAGGTACTACTACACCTATATATAATCCCTGCAGCACCGTACGCGTGCCCAAAACTGAACTACACGTCCGTCTCACCGTTCGACTACAG